TTTTTTTCACATTATAGAAACCAAGACCTTACACAGACTCACACTGGCTGTCTCAGTTTCAGACATAGTCACAGTGAACACAGAACACAAGAATCATATTTTAAATGTCAAAGACTGGGAAAACAGAGCGCTGCAGGGTGGGGAAAGCCGCACCTTGCAAGGAATGTTTACTTTTAACTGATAGGTCTTGAAGACCCGCAAGCAGTTCTTGCTTTTGTCGTTCTAGGGCTAGCTGTTCTTTTAATAAAGCCACTTCATTTCTTAATTGGGTAACAAGGGGAGAAGTGGAGAATGCCTCGAGGGCAGGTAAAACTAATGGGAGAGGGTAAGGAGGAGGCAGAGAGTGCGCCTCAGAAGGAGCCGTGGGCGCAGTGCCAGACTGGGGTGTCGTGACATCAGTGCTGGATTTAGAGTTAGGCTCTGATTTAACATGTTTGGGATTTGAAATCTCAGAACATGTCTTGGGTGACGTTTCTTCGTCACTGTCAAGGGAGATAAGGTCTATCTCCTTAGGGGAAGTTACTTTATCCCCGGGAGGCTCCTGAGGGGGACCTTGTAGGAGGCCCGAAGTTTGCTTTATGGCAGCCTCGTTGGAGGATTCATTTGAATCTATTAATTCCCTGATTATGTTCCAGTAGGAAAAGGCTGTAACAGGAATTTTCTTGGGGCCAAAGACCTTATAGTAATCCCCTAAAGCATTTTTTACCCTTTTTCATCCTTTAATATCTATTATTCCTTCTTGGGGAAACCAAGGACAGGTTTCCTTAATAAATTCAAAGAATCTTAATAGCTCCTCTATTTTAACCTTTATTCCTCGCGTCTTCAAGGCTTCTTGTAATTGCCTAACATAAAGTTTATGCCTGCTTATTTCTTGTCCCATAATCAGACGTCTGTACTTACTTTTGGTTGTAGCCAAGGCAGGTTCCCGTGGCGAGTCCAGAGTGAAAATTGTTGTGGAACGTTTTTTGGGGGATGTCTTCTTCCCTCACTGGATCCTCCGTATCCAGCCCCACGTTGGGCGCCAGATATCCCAACCCATGAGACAGTCAGCATGGGTACCTGGAGGGAGGAGAGGGGACTGAAAGGGACAAGTGACGTGAAGAATGGAGACAAGACAGGCTTTCTGATCAAGTCTCGTTTATTGAACATCTACACAAAGTTTTTATAGTGAGGGAAAAGGGGGAAGTTGGCAGGGATAAATCCATTGAGGCAGAGCAATTCAATTAACAGAACAATTATCA